CGACGGTTCGCTGCAAAGGGATGACCGCAGTCGGTGGCCACGCTGGGCGGGCGCAGTGTGTTTCTCCGTCGCCGTCGCCCGGGTCGGGTCGGGCCTGCCCCCCTACAGGAAGAGAGCTCACGCAGGAACAGATAATATGGGAACGATTGTTTGGCCATCTCTGTTCCTTATTTCTTGCTGCTATTTCTGGGTATTGCCAATTCCCCCACCGATGTCCGCATGCGGGAGGGCGCGCCCGATCTGGGGCTGCGACGGGAGATGGGCGATCTCGTGGGCCGCGCGCAAGCCGCTGCTCAACTGCCGGGATCTGCGACGTTGCAAACCCACGCGGCAGCAGCGGGAAAACCAGCACCAGCCACGCCTGCTGCGCCGAGAGCGCCAGCAGCACAGCCTGCACCACCTCTGCGGGCCCGAGCCGGCGGCGCATCCCCCCTGCGACGGGATCAGTGGCGCGACCCTGACTCTGGACCCGCTCTACTCTGGGCAATTGCGCAAGCGGGACTTGGAATTTCCGCTTTACTTGTTATGCCCCGATGATGCCAATTTCCGCCTTACTTTTCTGATGCTGTGTCCGCCCTACTTTGGCGGAGTTCCGCTCTGCTTTGCGTTGGGCGCGTGACCGAACATGCGCATTGGGAAACGCATTGAATGTGTTCCGTGCTGCGTGGCTGGAGCGTGGTTCTGGCATATTTTTCCAGGTCGGTTCCACGTTGCGGGGCCGCCGTGCGGACCCTGCCACTGACGCTTTCGGCGGCGCTGTCTATGGCGCCGCGAAGCGTGCGAGCGGCGTGCCGACATGAGGCGGGACCTCCACGCGGACCTTGCATGCGGGGCCTTCCGCGGAGCTCCGTGTCACACAACTGCGACCGCCATGCGCGCGGCAGCAGTGGCGCGCGGGGCGGGTCGGGGCGGTCGCGCGGCAGGCTGGAAGTTGTCGATCGCCATCTTGAGGCTCGCGCTGGGCGTCAAGATGGCGCCCGCATTGCCGTTGAGGCGAACAAGGGGACTTTAACGCGGCGCCAAGGCGGTCCAACGCGGCTCCCCGAGACGGCTGAGATGGCTCAAGATGGCTCCTTCTGCTTCTCCTCTATAACCCTCTCCTCCTTCTCCTGCTCCTCCTCTTCCTCCTCCTCCTCCTCCTCCTCCTCCCCTTCCCCCTCTTCCTCTCTCCTTCCTCCTCCTCGTCGTCGTCCTCCTCCTCCTCTCCATCCTTTTCCTCTTCTGCTCATCAACACCCACCGCCTCTCAGACATCCGGCGTCTTGATTTGTTTAGTGCGCGGCCCCATGGAGGCCCCGACGCATCGATAGGACAATGTTTCATTGTGGGCCTTCGTTCAGCGACCCTCTAAGGGCCCACGAAAAAAGGCGAGAGCGGCGACAATATTCCTCCTTGATTTCGGGCGCATCCCGAATTTGTTTTTGCGCGAGGCAAGCTCCGACTGACTGACAGACTGACAGACTGACATATTGAACGACTGACTGGTTGCACCCGTTGCGCGACGGTTTTATCGTTCGGCAGCCGAAGGCGCAACCGCGGCGCAACCGTCGGTTTTATCCGACGCTGCCGAGGGCGCGAGCAACGGCGCAACCAATAGCAGACGGTTCTATTCCCAGCCGCCGCCGAGGGCGCAACCGTTGGCGCAACCAATAGGAGACGGGTTCATTCTCTATGGCGCCGAGGGCGCGACCTATGGGCGCTGCCGCCTCACATGTCTTCGGATCTCTCACATCGCCCGCCCCCATTCATCAGCATCATATTTTCCAGCCTTCCCCATCGTGAACAAAAAACACCAAGTAAAATTTTACTTGATTTTTCAATTCGTATGTAATTCAATTCTGTAGTCGTTGAGCTATATGAATGGCGCAACCATTAGGAGACGGTTCTACTCTCGGCCGCCGAAGGCGCAATCTACGGCGCAACCAGTAGGATACGGATGTACTTTTGGCCCAACCTATGGCGCAACCACAGAGTACCGGTTCATTCTCGGCCGCCGAGGCCGCAACCTATGGCGCAGTCAACAGCATGCGGTTGCACTTTCGGCCGCCGAGGGCACAACTTCTGCCGCAACCGACAGCAGACGGTATTATTCTCGGCCGCAGGGGGCGCAACCGATGCCGCAATCGATGGGCGACGGCATTACTTTTGGCCGCCGAGCGCGCAACCCATGGCGCAACCAATCGACAACAGGTTTACTTTCGGCCGCCGAGGGCGCAGCCCGTGGCACAGCCACTAGGAAACAGTTTTGACATGTTGCGCAGGGTGACTGGAACCCGACTATTTTATTTCGCGTCGCCCACCCCTCTGTGCCCAGCTTTTCCCCCAACGGTCCCCTTTCCTTCAGCACACCTGTGTTCCCAGCAGCCGAGTGCCCCCTCCGCCCCGACCGCTTTATTTTGCGCGTCGCCCCGCCTCCCCCTTCGTCTGCCCTCAGCTCGCTCCCAAGCGGCCCCTTGTCTTCGTCCCCAGCAGCCGGGTGCCCCTCCCCCCCCTCCCCGCCCCCGCCGCATTATTTTGCGTCGGATCCCCGCCCCACCCGCCCCCCTGCCGCGTCCCTAGGGCCCGCCCCGTTGCGTTTTCTTTTGTTATTCCTCCCCCCTCCTCCCCTCCCCCCCACTCGCAAGACCCATGGCGCGCGCGCGCCGCTTGTTCTCGGCCGCCGAGGGCGCAACTTACGGCGAAGCCAATAAGAGACGGGCTCATTCTCGGCCGCCGAATGCGCAGCCAATGGCGAAGCCAATAGAGACGGGTTCCTTCTCGGCCGCCGAGGGCGCGACCTATGGCGCAACCGGTATGACCATGTTTCGCCTTCGAAGGCGCAACCTCTGGCGCGACCGACAGTGGGCGGGTTCATTCTCGGTCGCCGAGGGCGAAGCGTATCGCGCAACCAATTGCAAACGGTTTAATTTTCGGCGGCCGAGGGCTCAACGATCGGCACAACCAATAGGCGACGTTTGTATTCTCGGCCGACGGTGAGGAATGCGAGTGCTACGAGGACGATGCCGACGACTAACGACGACGAAGACGATAACGTAACCCCGACGACGACGACGGCGACGGCGAAAGCGGCGGCGCGGCGAACGCGTTTGTTGCGACGACGACGACGACGACAGTGGCGGCGGCGACGGCGCCAGCGGAGACGAGGACCGCCGCCACTACGACGACACCAAAGACAACTACGAACACGCCGACCCGGCCATGCTTGGTTGGACATCCAGAGGGCGCGGGGCTGCGTCCGGTTCCTCCTCTTCCTCGTCGTCCTCCTCTTCCTGTTCTTCCTCGTCCGCCTCCTTATCCTCCTCATCCGGCAGGCGACCTCTGGCAGCGCGGCCTTGTCGCCAGGCCATCCGCCAGGCCCCGTCCCCCCTGACGATGCCGCTCGGAAGGGGCTCGGTTGCTCCCTGGAAGGGTGCTCCCCTGGCGTTCCCCGCGGCGCTCTTCCTGCGCCCCCACGAGGCCCAGAGGTGGGCCCGGCACTTCTGCAGCGCTGGCCTTTCCCTGCGCTGCGGCAGCACCCCCTCGACCGCGCCAGATGCGTCAGACGAGGCGATGTTTTCGGTACGCGGCCCCAGAAATCCCTTTCGTAGACGGGCCGCGGAAACACGGTTCGCGGCGTCATCGTGGGAACGCAGACCCGGGGCTGGCAGACCCGGGGTGGACTTTCTTGTTATGCCCTTTCATAAGGCCTCCAGAACGGAGCCGGCCTGCCACGGCAGCTTTTTCGGTTGCGTTACGAAGCAAGCGAGCGTCTCGCAAGCCGCGCGCAGCGAGCGACGCCAGGGCCAGGCAAGTCGCGCTGCCGCCGCAGGACCTTTCCGATGCCGATCCTTCTGCGCTGTAGGATTTTTTCAGCATTGCATTTTTTGTTTGTTCGGCGGCACTTTTGCGGGACATCTGAAATCTGCAATGCCGATTTTCCTCCTGCGTTGTAGTTTGTGTTTCTGTGCAATGACGTTTTTTCTGCATTGCTGTTTTTGTTTGTTGCACGTGTGGGTTCGTCCGGCCACGAGCCGCCCTTGTGGGATATTGGGTACGGTGTGGAAATTTGCAAAATTCTAGGCCCCAGCCCCCGGTCTGCCGACCCCCGGTCAAGGGAGACCCGGCGTCAACGATGGCGGGTGGTCGCGGGCCTGCTTCGTCGCGCGCGAAGATGCCACAAAGAAGTGGCGAAAAAGGCGCACCTCCACGGACAGCAGCACGTCCAAGTGGCTTCTGCCCTGGATACTTCGTCGTTGGTTCTCGGACCGACGATGGGGTCGCGGAGGCTGAGACCAGAAAAGGAAATCCGGTGATGATGAGAATGGTGATGTTGATGATGATGCTGATGATGATGGCGATGGCGGTGATGATGGTGGCCATGGCGATGATGATGACGGTGATGATGACGATGACGACGGCAATGATGATGGTGATGACGATGACGATGTTGGTGATGATGATGATGGTGATGGTCGTTACGATGATGATGCCGGCGATGATGATGATGGTAATGATGATGCGGGTAGTGTTGATGCGGATTATGTTGCTGATGATGATGAGGCGGATGATGATGACGATGGTGATGAGCTTGATGACGGTGTGGACGCCGATGATGATGATGATGATGATGATGATGATGATGGTGATGGTGATGGTGATGGTGATGGTGATGATGATGATGATGATGATGATGATGATGATGATGATGATGATGGTGATGGTGATGGTGATGGTGATGATGATGGTGATGATGATGATGGTGGTGGTGGTGGTGATGATGATGATGCTGACGTTGATGTTGATTACATATGATGAAATTGGGGAGGAGGATGAAGAGGAACAGGAGGAGGAGGCGGAAGAAGAAAACGTCGAGGACGAAGAGGAGGAGGAGGAGGAGGAGGAGGAGGAGGAGGAGGAGGAGGAGAGAGAGGGGAGGGGAGGAGGAGGAAGAGGAGGAGGAGAAGGAGGAGGAGGAGGTTTAACAAGACTGTCGCCAGAGAGCCGGGCCCCCCCCCGCCGGAGACCCCGTCCATCGTGGACGAGGACGTCGCCGAGTGCGCCCAGGATCGGGCCGGACGGAAGGTGATGGGCCAGTTTTCCACTACCACCACCATAGGTCCGACGGGGGAGAAGGGAGGCTGGGGGCTGGGGAGGTCCGCCTCCTCCTCCTCCTCCTCCTCCTCCTCCTCCCTCCTCCCTCCTCCCTCCCCCTCGCTCCTCCTCGTTCCCCGTTCCCTCCCCCTCCCCCCTCCTCCTCTTCCTCCTCCTCCACGTCCTCCTCCTCGCCCTCCTCCTCCTCCTCCTCCTCCCCTCCTCCTTCCTCCTCCTCCTCCTCCTCCTCTCCTCCTCCCCCTCCCCTCCCCCTCTTCCTCCTCTTTCTCCTCCTCTCTCCTCCTCCTCCTCCTCCTCCTCCTCCTCCTCCTCCTCTTCCCTCCTCCTCGCTCTTTCCTCGTCCTCCTCCTCGCTCCCCCTCCTCCTCCTCTTCCTCCTCCTCCTCTTGCTCCTCTCCTTCCTCCTCTCCTCCTCCTCCTCCTCCTCCTCCTCCTCTTCCTCCTCCTCGCTCTTCCTCGTCCTCCTCCTCGCTCCCCCTCCTCCTCCTCTTCCTCCTCCTCCTCTTGCTCCTCCTCCTTCTCCTTCTCCTCCTCCTCCTCCCTCAATCTTGGAGCGCGTAGCGCGCCTGGGGCGCCGCCGGAGGCGGCGCCAGGGTGCTGCGTGTCCAGTCGACGCTGGGGTATCGGACCCCCCCGTCTGGGTGCACCTGGCTGCAGAGATCCTTCGAGGTCTGAACCCCAGCCGCCGTTTCAGAAAACGGACGGGCGCACTCCGAGTTTCTTAATAAGCATCAAGGGGGCGTCACCCCCGCCGACAGTCCCGCAACCACCCCCGTGACGAGCAGCGACCGTGCGCCGAAGGCGCTCCGACCCCCGTCGCAGCGCGACGACGAGGCGAGGTTGACCCCCGTCGGGGGGGTACCCCTCCACGCTTACCAAGAAACCCAGAGTTCAGAGGTTTCTATCAAGCAGTGGCGAAGCGTCCTGGCGTGCCTATAGCCCTACCAAACAATGTTTTAATAATTTCTTGTGATTCCCACGAAATGTTCTTAGAACATTTCTGGCTGGGAGTGTCTTGTTTTATCACATCGGGCTTATGTTCTGAGAACAGTGTTTCTGTTATCAGGACTTTTTCTTCGTTCTAAGAACACTTCGTAGTAAGACTATAGGAATGTGGGGACGGTCGGTCCCTGCTCAATAGTAAGAAACCCAGAGTAGGGTTCACATGTGATTGCCTGACCGACGAGGCTGCAAAGCAAATGCAACATCAGGATAACCACGGCCGACGCCCCGGACCCCGTCTTTCTGAGTCGTTCTTCGAGGTCGGATCGGATCTGCGAGGGCCCCGGGGCCCAGGCCCGAAGCGGGGCGAAGCCGCCCTGTTGTCAACACTTCGCACCGCCAGGATCTGAAGAGTAATGTCACCCAGAGATCCCACGCTCCAACAAAAACTGATTTGGTACTCCGCCTCCTCCCTCGCTTCCTCCTTCCGTCCTTCTTGGTTTTCCGCCTCGGCTTGTGAGAGGATGATGGAGTCCCCCTCCCATCAGCTGGGAAGCTGGCAGTCCTCCTTGTCGGGGGGTATCCTTGGAGGAGAAAAGCAAACCAGGATCCCAGGGACCGTCTGTGCACAACCCAAAGCCCAGAAATGCGGCAGCCTGATTTTTCCAATTCGCGGTCCCCAGATGTCCCGACCCTTTCCCCAGAGCCGGTGTTTCGTCCCGTGTCGAGTCGGGATGAAGAACCGATCAAAACACCATCGTGTTTTGACGGTCCCGTGGCCCAGCGAGGCCCCCCATGGGCCGAAACAGCAGCAAAAACTCACGTCATGATGTTCTTCGCGGCGCAAGTATGTCTGGGAGCAAACTCACGTCGTGATGGTCTTCACGACGCGAGTAGGCCTGGGAGCCTAACCGAGGAGTTCGCAGGAGAAGGCAGCATGGCGGAATCATCATGGCCGGGGCCCCAGGCCCCCTCTTAAAGTCGGGCGTGTCCCTCTACAGGAGCGGTACTCCAGATTTCGTCATAAAAGGGAGGGGGTCTGGACCGTCCAAGACAAGCCATTTCAGACCCCCCCCCCGTGGGAGAACCCTCCAAAACATCGTCCCCAGACCCCCCCAGGCCCTCCAAGATAGCCTGGAAGAGACCCCCCCCCGAAATGAGACCCCCCTCCCTTTATTACGAAATCTGGAGTATCCAAAGATAGTAAGAATCGTCAGGGGACGATTGTATTAGTATGTTTGAGCAGTTTTGGTGTATTGTTTTTGTTTGTTCTAACATATTTGTTCGTCAAAGATCCGCCTGTAGGGGGGCACGCCCGATCTAACCCCACCTTGCTGCATCTTTCCGCTCGAGCCAGATCGATCCGTGAGGGCCCCTGTGCCCCTAGCCAGGCGACAGCGCCCGGCGTGACCGATCTGCAGTGCCAGGATCTCAGGGCCCTGAGATTGGCGAAGCGTCCTGGCGTGCCTATTGGCCTACCAAACAATGTTCTAAGAACCTTTTGTGGTTTCCACGAGATGTTCTTAGAATCTGTTTGGCTGGGAGCGTCTTGTTTTAGCACATCGGATTTATGTTCATTGTTTTTGTTCTTGGGACATTGTTGGGTGCTAAGAACATGTCGTAGTAGGCCTATAGGAAGGCTGGGACGATCGGCCACTGCTCAGTGAGATCCGACGCTCCCAAAAAATTGGAGCGGCGGGATTTGGGCAGTGTTCGGCCTCCGGGGGCCCTCTCCGGGCCTCGGGAGCGTCGAGAACCGACTCAGGACGAGAAACCGGCCCTACAGAGGGAAGTGGTCCAGACCTCCGGGGCCTACGCATCAAACAATTGAAGCAGCCCGATGTCCCCAGACATCCAGCTGCTCCAATTTTTTCGATGCGTGGGCCCCAGAGGTCCGGACCACTTCCCTGGGACCGGTTTTTCGTTTTGAATCGATTTTTGACACTCCCGAGGCACGGCGAGGGCCCCCGGAGGACGAAAACTGCCCAAATCCGCATTTGTTCGCAAGCCACAGCATTATCGAGGAGCGCCACCCCTTCCCGCGCTCTCCCGCGGGCAGCGAGCCTGCCGCGAACGACGGGCCCGCCCACGCGCTCGCGGCCGCGCGGGCGGACCCCGTGGAGCTCGACAGCCTGGGCGACGCGGAGGAGCGGCGCTCGTCTGCCTCCTCGTCGAGCCCGCCGTGCTCGCAGCTGTCGGCCCTGTCTTCCTCGTTCTCCCCCCCCCCCCGCGCGCTCGGGGGGCAGATGCGAGACGACGAGGGGGGAGGAGGAAGAGGATGAGGAGGAGGAGG